ACGCAGCACATGTGTGCCTCTGGTATACGTGGCCCGTGTACTTCATGTCTATGTCTTCATGCTCCCTGCGGAGAGCTAGATTTGGAGAGCCCCACCCACAGTGTTGATGTGGACTGCCATACTCCTTCTGGCCTGGCCCCTGAGTGGTGCTGGCCACCCAGGCTGCTGCTGAGTTTCGCCTCTCTCTGCTTAGCCTGCATTCCCTGGGAGTCCTGGGATTCTTTGGCTCTCTGCCATCCCTTTTCCCCAGCTGGGGCTAAGGATGTGTTATGGGCCCTGAGCAGGAGGTCACTGTCACTAGAGCCAGCACCCAGACCGGGACCCAGGGCTCTTCTGGCTGGCGTGCATCACACTAGCTCTCCTCACCACAAGGTGGCGAGTGTGGCAGCCACTGCAGAGCAGGAAGCTGTGGTGTGAGGAGGGCGCTGGGGAGGGACGGACACCCATGAGAGCAAAGGTGTATGCCCCGCCTCAACCCACCCCTCCCCTGGACCTGCCAGCAGCTGTGGTCCTGGCTGGGCAGGGAAGAGTCCTGGGGCGGACCCGAGTTCTAGATAGCACCAGGCACCTCTCACAGCAGCAAAGGCAGGGCATGCCTGGGCTTTCCTGGCAAAGTTACAGGCGCTGTGCCTGTGGGAGGTGGCCTCAGAAACAAGCTGTGGGTTTGTGGGCCCAGAACTGCTAGGCGCCAGAAGGCGAAGGCCCAGATGCCGTGTCTGCCAGTGCCCGGGAAGAACATCTGGGGGCTGGGTGACAATCCCCAGAGTCCTGCCGTTTCTCTTGGGAGGTGGGGCTGTGTTGTCATGCATTTCATTCACGGTCCTGTCCCGACGGTGATGGTTTGGTCAGTGGAGGGGTTAGTGGACCCTGCCACCTGCTTCTCACAAACTGAGCCTGCGCTGACCTGTGCCGATGGGGCGTGTCGGTAGTGAGCTGCACGGATCCTGTGTGTGAATGCACACACGTGTTCCTCAGGTGCAGTATGGACGTGTCTGGAGGGTGCCAGCGGGAATGGCGAGCACGTAGGCTTCCACGCCACAGCCAAGGGCCCCAAACATCCCAGGAGTATGAAGTTATAATTGATTTCCCTGCTTCTATCGTTGACTGCTGAAAACACTCGCAGTCATAAAACCGGTGTGAGTGTTTACTCTGCACTGGCTGACAGTCAACCCCCAGGCTTCCCCAGGTAGACGCCCATGCCCTGGTAGACTTTCTGGAATACCAACGGTGGTCTCTTGAAAATTAAAGCCATACGGAAAGGAAGATTAAAAAGTAAGGCGTGGAGTGGATTTGTGGCTCGGGAAAGGCTCTGGGAACGAGGAAAGAAGTCAGAGGAATCACGGGGATGTGACACGTAGGTCCTTCGATGCAGATCGCAGTGCAATTGCACGGCGGTGCAGTCCCGGCGCTGGGGAGGTCACGTGTTCTAGGTGGTTTTCTGTCTCTGTGGCAAAGACCCTGATCAAAAGCAAGCAGAGCAGGAAAGCGATCGTTTCCACTTCCACATCCTGTCAGAGTCAGGGCAGCCACCCGGAGGCTGGGGACGGTGCTGCCTTGGGGACTGGCTTGCTCCTTGTGACTTCTTCACATTGCTTTCCTACACAGCCCGGGGCCATCGCCAGGGATGGCACCGCCCTCAATGAGCTGGGCCCTTACACATTAATCACTGATTTAAAAATGCTCCCACAGACTTGACTACACGCCAATCTGATGGAGGCATTTTCTTAGTTGAGGTTCTTTCTTCCCAGCTGACTTTGGGTTGTGGCAAGGTGACAAAAGCCAGCCAGCACACTGAGGCAGGAGGAACTTGAGGTCAGTCCTAGCCTGGCCTGAACACAAGGGCTGGAGATAACAGCCAAGTGATAGAGTAGCGCCCCTGGGTGTGACCCCCAGCAGCACATGCGAGGCCGTGGGTGTGATCCTTGGTAGCACACGCAGGAGGCGGAGCTTTTCATTTCTAGCTCTAACTGCCTTAACAATCCTGGGCTTCTAAAGGATGTTAACTCAGAATGAACCTGTCTTAGTTAGGGTTTCTATCGCTGTGAGAGACATGACCATGGCAGCTCAGATAAAGGAAGACATTTAATGGGGTGGCTTACAGTTTCAAGGGTCTAGTCCATTATCATCATGGTCTCACAAGGTGTGCAGGCGGACACGGTGCTGGAGAAGGAGCTTGGTCAGCAGCAACAGGAAGTGAACTGAGTGTCACACTAAGTGAAGCTAGAGCAAAGGAGACCTCAGAGCCTGCCCCACAGTGACACACTTCCTCCAACAAGTCCACATCTGCCCCAACAAAGCCACACCTCCTAATAATGCCACTCCCTATGAACTTATGGGGACCAGTTGCATTCAAAATACCTCAGAGCCTTGGACAGTAGCATTTATTACTTCATAGCTTTGGAAGCCAGGAGTACCAGGCCAAGGTGCTGGCCAGTCCATTCCTTCTGAGGTTTTGAGAGAAATGACCCTTTGACCCATCTCCCAGGCCTGTAAGTGGCTGTCTTCCAAGCTACATGGCTATGAAGGTGGGTCTGCCTCCAAATTCATTCATTCATTCATTCTTTCTTTCTTCCTTTTTTTTTTTTTGGTTAAGATTTATTTATTATATGTACAGTGTTCTGCCTGCATGCAGGCCAGAAGAGGGCACCAGATCTCATTACAGATGATTGTGAGGTTGTGAGTCACCATGTGGTTGCTGGGAATTGAATTCAGCACTTCTGGAAGAGCAACCAGTGCTCTTAACCTCAGAGCCATCTTTCCAGCCCTAAATTCTTTTTATGAGAGTTTTCGCATCCTGGACTGAACACCAATGATATGGACAGCTTGATTTCCTGTTCAGATAACATTGAACACTGAGTGGTTAGGACCACAGCACACTCAGGGAACGTGGTCAGTCCACGACACCAGGGAAGCACGTTCTTAATGTTTCTAATGTAACCAAAAGAAAGATAACGTTCCAGTGGGTGGGAATTTACATTTTTACATCTCTGTATTTTTAGACTGCACATAGAAGATGCAAACATAGTTTGGATCGTGTTGTTTAAGGGAGTGCATTCTTCATACATCTTCTGTAACTCCCTCCCTCCCTCCCTCCTCCTGTCCCTCCTTCCCTGATTTGGACACAGGGTCTCACATATCCCAGGATGCAGCAGACGATGGTCTTAAACGTCAGATCTTTCTGCCTCTACCTCTCACCCTGGCGTGCACCACCACCCTACAGTGGTTTATACAACTGGGGATGGAATCCAGGGCTCCGTGAGCATTAGGCAGGCTCCCTTCCACCAACTGAGCCACATCCCCATCTACCAACAGAGCTTCACCCCCATCTGTCAGCTGAGCCACACCCCAGCCCATCGTAACTTCCATAGTTTTTTTCTTTTTTTCTTCCCCAGTGCTGAGATCAAGCTAGACACTGTACTTGCTAGGCAGGTGTTCTACCACTGAGACATCCTAGCCCAGACATGTTATAAAAAGTTTTATTACATTCATGTGTGTGTGTGCATCCACTATGGTGGGTGTGTGGAGGTCTGAGGACAACGTCTGGGAGTCAGTCTTCTCTACCACGTGGGGGTCCCAGGCCATCAGACTCGTCAGCAAGTGTCTCTACCTATTGAGCCTTTGACCTGCCCCGCCCGACAAGGTGGTAGTATATAGCCCAGGCTGGCCTTGAAATCACAGCCTTCCTTCCTCAGTCTTCCAGATTCGGAAACTACAGGCAGATGTTACCTCGCCCAGTGCAAATAAGAGTTTTAAAGTTGAAAACAGACCGAGGGTCCCTCCACCCAGTGTGATGGAAAACAGACACCAGGCAGCAGGTTTGGTTTAGATGAAAGAAGCAAATAGCAAATTCATTTTGAAGACAAGAATTGTCTTACCAGAGTAAATGGCCCTGGCTAATGGCCCCGGCTAATGTGGAGCAGATCTGCCCTAGCTTGTCCAGAAGCAGCCAGGCTTCTTAGAACATTCCACATCTGGGAGGGAGGTTGCCTGCACACCCAGCCATCGCAGCAGGGAGCAGCGGTAGTCCACACAGAAGAAGGAAGGCCTCCCTGTGGTCTGTTTCCTCCTCCCATGTTGCTCTGATTGCTGGGAACCTGTGTTCTTGTTTGGCAAACAGCAGCAGAACGCACCGCACAGCCACGGCCTGGCTTTTGGAATCTCCTTCCAAGCTTCCGGCACATTCTTTTGATTATCCTCAGTGTGGCTAAACAGTGTCACGTGGTGAGGATGGTTCTGGTTTTCGGAAGCGGCTGAGGGCTGTTGGCAGCCGAGCCCGGTGCTGATGCGGCTCCCTAAGTGATGCGGAGATGAAAGGCGCAGGAGTTTGTTCCTGCCTCTGCAGCCACTGCCGAGGCCACAGCCATGGCCACGGCAGCCCTGGGCACCCCAGAGGCAGGCAGAGGCTGCAGCAAGACACCAGGTTCACGGGACCTGAGGAATGTAAAATGTCTCGTCGTTTATTTCCTTTTCCTTTTAAATATTTGGGATTCAATGTCTTATTAAAGTTAATTTCAGTAGTTTCTTTTTTCGAAAATGGCTCCTAGAAAGTGTTACATTGTTTATGTGCCTTGTGTAGTTTCTGGGCGGGAGAACTGGCACCCTCCTTCTCTCTTCTTTCTCCTTTTCCTCTTCCCCCTCTTTTTCCTCTAACTCCTCTTCCTTCCTTTACTTCCTGCTTCTCCTTTCCCTCCTCTTCTGCCACCCCCTTCGGTTTTCAGGGGCAGTTGAGGGGTGTTGGCAGCCATGCCTGGCACTGAGGCAGCTCCCTGAGTGATGTGCAGATGTGAGGCTGAAAACTGGAGAGAAACCAGTGGCCTGTGCTAGGTTGGGCTAGGGGAGGCTGCACAGCATGGCCCCACCTGCTCTGTGTGTGTGAGCCCCGTGCCAGCACGACCCAGAAGCCACTGGAATTCTGAGGGTCCCGGGCAGCGTGCAGCCTGATGCCCAGCACATGTCCCTGACCTTGATCTCCCATACATTACCACTCTTCTCTCCTGCAGGTCTTGACGAGCCCTGCCTGGGCCGAAGCGTGCGGAGGATGGAAACGTGCGCTCAACCATGTCTCTGGGCCGCCTCCTTCGCAGGGCCTCCTCCAAGGCCTCGGACCTCCTGACCCTCACCACGGGGGGCAGTGGTGGGTCCCCCTCCATCCTGGATGGAGAGATCATCTACTCCAAGAACAATGTCTGTGTGCATGCACCCGAGGGGCTGCAGGGCCCTGGGGAGCACCATCCAGGTGAGATGGGGGTCAGGGATCTCAAGGCCGGGAGGGGAGGCCCAAGGCCTGCGGGACCAGGTGGATCCTTCCAAAGATTCACATTTTCTGTTTGCCCTTCCCTGGGCTCCACAATTTAAGGAGTCAGGGACCAACACTCTGGAGAGCAGGAAGGTAAACTTCTAGACTCTCTGTGTTGGACTTTGTCCTGTGGCCATTCTTGGGACACTTAAGTCTCTAGGAATGGAGCCTTCCCTGCTGTGAGTGTTCTGGGAGGCACAGCTCCTCCCTGTTACCTTCAGCAGTCCCAGGAATTCTCTTAGGGGCCTCATCTTAGGTCAGTACAGGGTCTGTGGCTTTGACAGAGAAAGCGACCGCAGACTAGCTTGTCTTTGGCAGAGCTGAGGGTCAGCAAAGACATTTTAAATGGGCTTAAGCAAGAGACATGCTCAACTGGCAAGGCACTCCTGGGTGTGTGCATGTGGGCTTCTTTCGTGAGGACCCAGCTGGTCCAGAAGGACTAGACCCCACCCCAGCAGGCTGGGGACGGAGGCCTCACATGGTGAAGTGAAGCATGCTGGGGTTCCAGGCTGAGTTCAGGGCTTGCAGGCTCTGCTCACTCAGTGGTGAGTCTAAAACAATCGTATAAGGACACAGCTATCTGGGAGAGTTTTGCGCATTATTTGTGGTGTTGTGATGGAAGATCAAAGGTGTCTTAGGTTCTCCTCTTTGTCCCAAAGGCTTAAGACAAGGGTGTTGGGACAGCTCCTCCCCCCCTTTCTGGGACTGTTAGGAACAGCTGGCTGATTTTCCCAACTCCTGCCAACACAGAAGCGTGCCAAGGAGATTTGGCTGGAGTTCGAGTCCCCAGGGGTATATGTGGTTGATGTTGTTGGCTGTTGCCTGAAGGTTTTTGAATCACACAAATCAGGGAAGCCTAGGGATGGTGTGTCATAGCCCAGGAATTGGGATACCTCTGAACAGTCGGGGCTGTGTTGGGAGATGCCATGCCCTCTCCCAGGAGCTTGGTACTGATGAACTAACAGACTTAAAAAAAGACAAACCAGGAATTCCATGGCCAAGGAGGGCCCGGTGCTACCCATCTGCCCATCTTGGATCTGTTCTTGTCGTGATGTAAGATGGGGTCACCTGTCTGCCTCCCTCCTCTTAGAGCTGAACATGTAGCTAGGTTACCACCCGCCCAGCCCCCTGACAGCCTGCCCTGCAACTCCCCACAGGGTACCTGTGCCTGTACATGGAGAAGGACGAGCTGCTGGGGGCTACCCTCATCCTGGCATGGGTCCCCAACTCTCGCATCCAGAGGCAGGACGAGGAGGCCCTACGCTACATCACACCCGAGAGCTCCCCTGTGCACAAGGCACCCCGCCATCGGCGGCGGCGCACCACAAGCCTGGGAGCCCCATACCAACCCCCTCCCACAGAGCCAAGGCCTCCCCTGACTCCCAAAGATGAGGACATCCTGGTGGTGGTCCAGAACGCCCAGGATGCGGTACACATCAGCCCTACATCTGAAGACGGGGAAAAGCTGGCCCAGGGCCCAGAGGTGGATGGGCCTCTGCCCGCTTCACAGCCTGTCCACAGTGACTCTGGGATCCTGTCTACAGTCAGTTCACAAGACGGGACAGAGGATGGCCGAGAGCCACGGCCTGAGGCCGTGGAGGAAGAGGGCTCCTTGGAGTTGTCAGCCGATGGTGTGAGCAGAGATAGCTCCTTCGACTCCGACTCCGACGCCTTCTCTTCACCTTTCTGCCTCTCGCCCATCAGCGCGGCCCTTGCCGAGGGGAACAGCTCTGCATTCCTGGAGAGCGAGGGCAGGTGAGTTCCCGATACAGGGGGTGAGGCCTGACTGGGTGGCAGGAAGTGGTTGCTTCATCACCCCACCTGCCTGTTCCACGAGGCCCAGGCTCAGGCTTAGGGCCGCCACACGGTGAGAAAGATGCACAATGTGTGTCTGCGCTCATCTTACCCAGCCCTCACGCTCTCGACCCCTTCCTCTTCCACACCCGCCCAGGACGACACCTGGTGTGATGGCCTCTGTTTGGACTTTTCTGTTCTCATGCCAGGAGTGTGGCAGGTGTGTCTCAACCCCCAGGTAAACTGCTGGTGAGCCCGGGGGTTGCTGTGAGTAGGATCATACTCTGTTGCATGGCCCCTCCCCTTCCGTCCCACTGTGTCCTGCGCCCACCGGACACATGGCCTGGCTCGCTGAGGTTCTTCCTTATTGCCAGCTGCAGAGGTAGAAACAACCCTGGGTGTTTGACAAAGAGCATTTGTAGCATTTACTTACTCTGCTGATGGCCAGTGTCTCCTACCCCCACCACCACCACGAGGAGCTGCTGGGGTGCCTGGACTAATTGGCTGGTGGACTAGGTGACATATGCTCTACTCTGAGGAGTCGGGAAGCAGGGCTGGCTTACCTTGTAGGGGGTCCTCTAGCCGTGGAGCCCACGGTAATATCCCCGACCAAGGAGGGCTGTCATCGTGCTACCCGGTGTCTTCAGGGTTCTCTGGTCCTGTTATGCAACAAACCCTTCCCTTGGGAAGATACAACACACGTCTACTCACCCCAGATAGGGAACCCACAACTGACCGAAGTGTGGATGTTACCAGAGTCCAAGTTGGCGCACTAATGGGTTTTACTGGGGTTGCTTAGGGGAGCAGAAATGACTCAAAGACAGCTGCATCACCAAAGCCCACCCTAGCATGGCAACAGCTCGAAGAGCTGGGACCCTGGAGCTCATGGCCCAGCCTGCAGGCAGCTCAGCAGGTTGCAGGGTGTCCTTCCCAGGTGCCTCAGGTGGTCTAACCCGCTTCCGGGCAGCTGGGCTGGCCTCTGAGCTTGGCCCTTGCAGCTTGGCTCTGTCAGTCTCAGAGGCATTCTAGCTTTTGTTGTTTACTCTGGCAGGGAGGGGCCTAGTGAGTCTGGTTAGTTTCACGGACTTCCTGAAGCTGTTTTGAGTTGTTTACCTTTGTGGGCAAGGAGTTTCTCTGTAGGATGGAATGTTACAGTATCAGAGGAAACTCTTGCAGGGCTGGTGCTCAGATCTCTGTAGGATGGAATGTTACAGTATCAGAGGAAACTGTTGCAGGGCTGGTGCTCAGATCTCTGTAGGATGGAATGTTACAGTATCAGAGGAAACTGTTGCAGGGCTGGTCCTCAGAGCTTGGTGCATGCATCCTGCAACTGCACAAACCCAGGACACCCGAGGATGATGAGTACATCTGACACCAGCATCTCCTGTATCCCAGATGTGGTCCTCATCATCAGATGTAGATGTAATGACGATAATAAATGATGGTGATGAGAGTCGGTGCTAGCCAGAGGGTATGGGATTAATTATTGAGCGGGGATTGTGTTGGATATCTATGCTGAGGTGACAGGGACATTGGGGTCAGTTAGCGCTGGATTATGCATGCCTAAGCTGTGATAGGTCCTGGTGCTGCCCCCTGTGTTTGGGGAAGGGAGGGAGGCTCAGGGGTCGGTGGCTTGCTGGAGGTCACCAGTCAGCGGGACTGGACACCCATGGGGGTGGCACCAGGGCTGGAGCACCATCATGCCAGAGGCAGTGATGAATCAGTCCCCAGAGAGCAGAGCGGAGAGACTCGATGCCTTGCTGGCTCTGGCAGTTAGGAATTCGAGATGGATTCTGCCCTGATTTTGCCTCCTTGATAAGACATGGTCCACTAAAGCCCAAGAGGGACAAATAACACTTATCTCAGTATTTGAGACTTCAGATAGAAGGAAGCAGTCAGCTGTAATGGGCATTCCAGGCTTGCTGAATGAAGTTCACTGAGGCGGGAGTTGATCAAGAAACCCTTAGAAACCCCAGGCTTAGCAGGCTTGGGAGCTCCCCCTGGTGGTGCCACAGCAGCAATGCAGTGATGCTTTCTAGTGTCCTTCACCCAGCGCCAAGCTGAGACAGAGGTGGCCTTGCCTTGCCTTATCTGCAGCCTACAGACTGTGACTGAGGATGGACAGAGCTGAGCCTGCTGTCTGTCCAACTGTCCTATCCTGGAAGGAACTGGGATCCAGGAATCAGGGCACAGGGTGCCAGTGAGCTGTGGCTCCCTGCCCAGCATGGACCTTGGGCAGGCTTATCTTTCGGGAGCCCCTTTGTAAGGTGCAGACCGTAATATGCACTTCACACCTTCGCCGGAGCCCTCAGGTGCTTTGGGTCTCAGAATTCTGGGTTCTTGTGTCCCCAGGTTTGACCCCTTCCTTACTCCTGCCCACAGAGCCACAGCTCCAGGTGCGCCTGCGCCTGGCTTTTGAGGGGCCACCTCCATTTCCCCACAGGCAGAAGGGGCACCCCTTTCCTTCCTCTTCTCTGCCCCCTCCCTGGAGCCTCGACCACACCCTCAGGGTCCATGCCTGGTCTTTGTTGGCAGTGGGCAGTAACTTTGGAACCCACAAGCGACTGTCAGACCCTGGCTTTACTCCTGGCCGTGGGGTCTTGTGCATCTGAAGAGTAGCTGCCTCTCGGGTGAGATGCAATCGAGAACCCCTTCTCAGGGCTGGTTGGTGTGAGAGTCAAGGCTGGAGTGTGTGCTCAGGGAGCCTGGCCTGGGTGCTGTCTGTCTGCAGAGGCTGGCTCTGGAGTGCTCACTCCCCCCAGCCCTCTTCATGATGCACACCGTGATGCCTCAGCCTCCTGGCTGCTGTCTCTGTCAGTGGCTTACCCAGTAGGTTCACGACGCCTGCTCTTCACGCTGTATCAGTGCATTTTGCCTGAGGTTCATTGTTAGTCCACTTTTTGTTGCTGTAACAAAATGCCTGAGGCTGAGTACTTGTAGAGGAAGGAAGACTGGGTCTTTGAGATGACGTAGCAGGTGAAGGCTCTTGCTGCCAAGCCTGATGACCTGAGCTCGGTCTCCAGAACCTGAGTGGCGGAGGGCGAGAATTCTCCAAAGTTGTGGTGCGCACACTTTCGCCCTTTCACACGCACTCTCGTTTACTTTAACTGTAAACAAATACATACATTTGGAACAGGCCGGAGACATGGATCAGGGAGACATGGATCAGGGATGCAGGATCAGGGAGTCATGGATCAGGGAGACATTGATCAGGGAGTCATGGATCAGGGAGACATGGATCAGGGAGTCATGGATCAGGGAGACATGGATCAGGGAGTCATGGATCAGGGAGACATGGATCAGGGAATCATGGATCAGGGAGTCATGGATCAGGGAGACATGGATCAGGGAGACATGGATCAGGGAGACATTGATCAGGGAGACATGGATCAGGGATTCATGGATCAGGGAGTCATGGATCAGGGAGACATGGATCAGGGAGACATGGATCAGGGAGACATTGATCAGGGAGACATGGATCAGGGATTCATGGATCAGGGATGCATGGATCAGGGAGTCATGGATCAGGGAGATATGGATCAGGGAGACATGGATCAGGGAGTCATGGATCAGGGAGTCATGGATCAGGGAGACATGGATCAGGGAGACATGGATCAGGGATGCAGGATCAGGGAGACATGGATCAGGGAGACATGGATCAGGGAGTCATGGATCAGGGAGACATGGATCAGGGAGACATGGATCAGGGAGTCATGGATCAGGGAGACATGGATCAGGGAGTCATGGATCAGGGAGACATGGATCAGGGAGTCATGGATCAGGGAGACATGGATCAGGGAGTCATGGATCAGGGATACATTGATCAGGGAGTCATGGATCAGGGAGTCATGGATCAGGGAGACATGGATCAGCAGTTAAAAACACCCGTTACTCTCAAAGGGCCAAGTTCAGTTCCCAACACCCACATGGTGGCTCACGACCATCTGTAACTCCAGTTCCAGGTGATCCGGTGATTGTTTTAAATGTCTGTGAGTGCCAGGCACAGACATGGTACACATACATACATGCAGGCAGAGCACTCATAAGGTAAAATAAATACAAATAAAAGGTCTATGTAAGTCATCATTCTAGAGGTTGAAGGCCCAAGCCTGGTGGAGGAGCTTAACGTCCATCCCTGGTCTCTAGTGAGGCCCTATTGGTCAGGTCATGTGATACTAAAGTCATCCTTAGAGATAGGAGGCCTGATCACAGGGAGGGGCTGGCTAGCTTTTTCATAACAAACCCTCCAGAGATTCCCAAGAGGACTATGATAATTCTTTCTCAGGCCACACCCCCATAGCCTAATGACTGTATGATAGGCCCCGCCTTTTTTAAAAATTCGTTTTACATACCAACCAAAGTTCCCCTTCCCTCCCCTCCACCCCACTCCCCCTAGGCCCCACCATTTTAAAGATGAGAGTGTGGCTGCTAAACCCCAGCCTGTGAGCCCCACTGAGCATGATGGGAGGTTCTATTTTAACAGAAGTAGGTTCTGGAAGGGGTTGGACCCTGGGTTGTGTTGCCCAGCCCTGTTTGTTTTATTCCTTGTGTCCAGTGCCACATTGGTTCCTATGATTGGCTCTGTGAACACCAAGGACCAGCATGGGCAGCCTGGGAGACCCCTGATGCCCTGGCCTCACCCAGACTTTTAAACCAGTATCCCTGGGTCTATGGGGCATCTCTGAACGTCACGTTTTGTGTATCGAAACAGTCTCACGGAGCCCAGGCTAGCCTTGAACTCACTATGTAGCTAAAGATAAACTTGATGTCTGGTCCTCTTTCTGAATGCTGGAATTAAGGCCGTGTGCCGGCCACACCCAGTTTACTCTGTGCTAGGGATGCAGTCCAGGGCCTTGTGCTCGAGTGCTAGGCAAGCGCTCTGTGGTCTGAGAGCTACAACCCACCCCTGGCCCATTTTTGCAGCACTGAGGATTGAACTCAGGGTCACCTTACCATTGAGA